GAAATATTAAACATTCAGGAAGCCTTGGCGCTCTATCATGCAAAAGCATAACATATACTTTTCAGATCCTGCTAATATATATTTGAATTATTTCATTTTTCTAAGGACGAGGGCGACTGGACTCATGCGATTTTGTTGGGCTGTCCTCTGCAACCCATAACGAGTTCCATTCAAAATGCCACTTGGGTTCTAAATTGAAGAAATCATGGCGCATCCCCAGTAAGCCACTGTTTAGATGCGCTACATCTTCTTTACAGGGGATCTGCAACTGCACTTTGAACAAAGCATTTTCTAGGTGAGATACAATGGCCAGGCACATAATACATTAAGGAATCTACGCGAGTGTCGTATTCGGCTGCTTGAGGAAGAGCTGTATCTGGTACGAACGACGGTCCGGATGTTGATTTCTTCGCGTTATAATAACGCGCTAGTGTTCATCGCTTTAGAAGCTGGTGAAAATTGATAGAACTGGACAATTACAGTGTCAAACGGGCTCACTAGGGAGTAATTTCGGCGGATGGTTTCAAGGAAAGGTTTCCGTTGCGCGATGATGTGCCCTGATGTGGAGGGGCTACGCACTGACTCAGAGATGTTACCGATTTTTTTAGTATTAAGGTCTGATATGCTTTAGTAAATTAGTTGTCATTGGTTGGATGGTTTCGGGTTGATTCATACTGGGACGCCTTTCACTGCAAGGTGCATTGTTCGGAACGTGGGGAGTTTCCCCTGTGCGATTCCCTATCCTTGCGATTCAGTTAAGGCTTAATTCCAGAAGTTTTGAGCTGGGACGTCCTTGTAGCAACTTATGAAACGTGGGTAAAAGTGCAACGATCGCACGCTTAGCAGTGGCGGGAGGGGCGATGGAGATCGGAAAAATCCCTGATTAGGAAAGCGACAGTTGAATAGCCAAAGGCAGGCCAGTGGCAAACAACGCAGTTTATAACGCATGATTTTCGTTCGGCTGCATCAAGAATCCCAGATGCGGGCTCCTATCCAAGCCAACCAAGCCTCCTACACACCGTGGCGCGGTAGATTGTCGTAATGAGTTGCTCTAGGGAGGATAATCGTAAGATGATTTACCATGGCCTGCCCGTTAAGTCATTGTACCACGATCACCACTACAATATTGAATGGAAGTACGGCCCTGCACGTCGATTTTCAAAATGATGATAGATGCAAGAAATTCATCTCCATTTCTTCTATTCTAAAGGCAGTTTGGCACGATAATCCGTTAGGGACCGCCAGGATTAGTACGCGCGCGCAGTACGGTTATTCCGTGACCCTGCTGACAGTGCTTCCATAGAAGGTGCCCTTGATGGTATCCTTTCAAGCCTGCAACATACCGACGCGAGAACGCCCGCCCACAGATGGACGACCGCTTAGCCTAATGCTCGAATTACTTTATTGCAATGCAAATAATGAGCGAAGTTTGGTGTGAGCGGTACAGGTGCTGCATGGATATATGCGGCTTACATCGTATGTCTACGCGCTAGGCTGTTATTGGCAGGATGGCTACGGGAAAATCGGGGCTGAAGGTCACCTTCTTGAATCATCCCAAAATACGAAGCTTTTTTCGCGGTTTTGAAGCGTCTCACTTCTTTTTTTCGCATCTTCTCACTATATAGCTCCTTCTTAGCAGTTTGGGCCGAGTACCAAATTATCATGCCAATTGCCTTTAACAAATCGGTGAATTCGTGGCCTTGGCCTTCACATAGTTTAGTAACTCTATGTACAGAAAGATTCAGCCTTAATTTCGTACTTTTCTTTACTTTTGATTAGTCTTGTACTTTTTCGTTACCCTTTGGCTAATTTTCCTTTTCGTGACATTTCGCCATCATTTACTAGGGCGAATTGTTCACCTGAGCGGCCCCGCGCGCGCTGCTGCTTGAGGAGACGCTGACCAATAGAGTCGATTTCTGCACTCGTCTTGTTTATACATGCAGGTGGAATGTGTCCGCCGGAAATAATTCGGTGCGAAAACGAACCATGGAAAATTTTTCCGGCGCATTTCTTTATCGAAGGGACAGCATTGCAGTTCGAGTTGATGGGCTCAAAAATGGACTTATTGGCGTCTGAATAGAGCTCCTCTCTTTTAGTGCTTCGAGGAAATGACTCTTGGCAGTCTGTTCCTTCTAGGCAGGACTGGAATATGGATACTGATAGAAAAGCTATTAATATCGCAGCACTGTTCAAATCAAAAATGATGAATAAGTGCCAAAGGTGCTCATTGTGTGTAGAAACTTCACGCGTGTGGTTGGATTGCGAAGGGGCGGTCAAGGGAATGTTCCAGAAACTCCATAAATAAACGCATAGGGTTTCGCAGTTGTTTCTTGATCAGTTTTGTTTTGTTGTGTGTACGCATTTTAGTCCATTTTGGAATCGTATGTGGTCATGGATGCGATATGGCCTATACATATGATCTGGGGGAAGGGGGCGGGGTTGGGTCAGATGACGAAATTAGAAATTGAAATAGGTCCGTTAGGTCGAAAAAAATCGAACAAAGCTCAACTTCTGACACTTGGACTGTAGATGTAAAGCGAAGAAGCGTGATCCATCTCGGGCGCCAAGTCAGTGCTTTTATGACATCCTGGCGGCAAGGATGCTGCGGGACCGATCCTGTTTCGCAGGCTGTGAGCGTGCCCATCCCCGCACCGGAAATTCACCTAGAAATTTGTTCACGGCTAGAGAGGCCACTATCAGTAGGCATAAAACACATTAAAACACGTTAATTTAGTACTTTGTCTAAAACGTTGCCAACAGGGGTGCTACAGAGTGGGATGGCGAAGGAGCTGAGTGAAACGGTCAAAAACCTACGAATCAAGCCTTTGCTACACGACACTGAAAGCTATTTCCCACAAGCACTGCGGTAAGATACGGCTACAGCTATGAACTTATATCTCCATTTGACACGCGCAGCCATTTCATTCTAATTCTTACAGAGGGTGCTCGGAAAAAAGTCTTGTCTTCGATTACACTTTTCGCAGGCGGCTATAAGTTAAACTTATTGAATTCTCATCATAACATTTTTACGATTATATTTGAGAGCATATTCAAATACTATCATGACACTCCGCCACAGCCCTTTGGACGAGCGCCATCGAGAGATTCTGGGCATTGACCGCGATGTGGTGCCTGAGATCAGCGAGATAGTCGATTTCTCCGCCACCGTAGACCACCCTATTGAACTCCCCGAACCGGGTAATTGAGGGGATTCAGGTCAGGTGACCTACTTAGATATTCCATCTTCTTTAGGTACAGCCCCCTTCCATTCCAAGTAGGCGAGTGTTTCTCCAACGCCCTTCGATTTCATGTGGTGGCACTCAATGCTGTAGCAGTACAAAGTTTCCAAGAAGGTACGGGCGACGGCATGTGAGGAGGATATTCTTCACGAGTTGCCCAATGTAACCGCCAGCGCTCACCTTCAGTCCGGGGTCCACGAAGAAATTGGTCTTTCCATTCCAGGTACGTCCGGTCCATACCATCAACCCGCGCCTTGGCGCGACTGCGGTGAAGATGTGTCTTAGAGGTGGCGACGTTGTCGAGTGCTCGATGTTGGGTCATCCAGATCGAGGAGTACTTGGGCCCACACGGTAGCAGCCTGTCGTGGCGCGACTCCATTACTAGTAGTTTCGCAGTTGTTGGAGGTGACATGAATTTAAAGGTTTCTCCAGTCGCTGCCAACTGGGAGATGACTTCATATTTTGGTGTACATGAAGGTGATGGCGAGAGCCAGCTCCTGCTTATCGAGGAACATCTTGGGTATCTTCCTGCCCTGGTACTCGTATCCACGTCCTCTGTCTGGGCAGCGAAACTTTGCTGATATGTGACTCGGGTCGAAGTGAGATTTTTGATAACCCTGTAAGGCTCACATTAGTCTCAAGCGATGCGAACATTATTTTCTGTCATTTTTTCTCTTCTTTGTTGCTATTGCAAGTATACGGAAACCTAGGACATCTGAATTTGCAAAAATGACTAGAAGAACTGTTGCTGCACTGGAAAGCTTTTCGCGCACCTTGTCGCGTGCGTCTACACGACATCGGAAATGAATGCGCTTCATGTTTAGAAGAGTTCCTTTTCCACAAATGCCGCCTGCCCTGCCGCTGAAATAGTTGCAGCTTTCATGTGAATTATCACACATCTCAACGATTTTGTGTGGTAGGCGAAGGAGTATGCACAAGAGCTCGTTCAGCCTCGTGCTCTACATCGTTTATCTTGTGTTATGTCTCAACCTTACATTTATTCTTTGTTGTCCATTGTTTTTTCGTACATTCGACACATACACATATGCTGCTGCTTTTCCCAGAGTTTACATTTTGTTCTAAGCCCGACGACCTTTTAAGCTCACTTGGACGGGACCTTTTGAAATTTGTAGTATGGATCAATAAGGGGGTTGCAAGGGGGATTCAAGATGGCGCCGTTCCTAACCCATGAGTCTGGGGATCCGGATCTCACAACAATTGGTTTAGACCCACGTAGCTTTCCATGCTTGGGGACAGCAAAGTGAACGGCTTAATGTGGAGTTAGCCCTATCTTATACACCACTTTGCCTTCACTTCATAGAACTCAAGTGCAGTTACATCTAGGGGCGTTGGAACGGGGCCTTTCAAATGAACTACCTGAATAGGGCTGGATGGGGATGCAAAAGAAGAGACTGTAGGTACAGTGCACTGTCGGTGCGCATGTTGAGGACTTTCTTACGTACGCTGAGTTTGGCGTGGCGTTCAGCTAAGCTAGTTTCTAGCGGGTCGTACCACTACTCGGGCGGGTATGTCATTGAATGGATGGTAGGTTGGGTCGAGGGGAAGACGTATGTACATTGTAGGACGCCTCTACGCGACGCTTCGATGCCGATAGTTTAATTTGGACGATTTTTACACTTGAAAAGAAGAAAATTACTAAAACATAGACGTGCTTTTGAGAGAGAGAGAGAGAGAGAGAGAGAGAGTTTTCACCAGTCAATAACTAATAACACCAATTTCAGCATGGGGTCGTATGTCACGATGGGAAAGGAAGGATCGGTAAGTGGCGACCCATTTGCCCTCAACCGGATCGTTTGTGTTGGCATACTCTCCCAGTCAGGTAAAGGCAGTGACGACTGGGTCTTCGAAAAAGTGGGTCCCAATGTCTAGTTACGAGGCAGGAACTTATTTTTTAATTCTTTTCAGTTCACGATGCACAACCGGTGTGCAGTGATTGGGATCTGAGGAATGAGGTGTCGTTCGCTTTGATACGACAATCCGATCCGATCGGTTCTGATGCTCCCGAAGATGTATGGTTATATAACAGGTATGTTCATTTTACTATATAGTTCAATAAAGTATCTCTGATATCCCTGCTGCTGATACACACCCTTATCGTGTCAGAAAATAGGTAGATATCGGTGCGGATCTGCGCAATGCAGCGGGTCTGGAAACATCTATGATTTTGTGTTTGCAATCGCGACACGTTGGGGGACTGATGCAACTCCCTAGCAGACTCTCAGTATTACGAACATAAAACACTCTGTCTGAACTGGAAATCAATCTGCATAAACTTAGCAGAAATAGAAGTAGCTGTAGTGCTCGAAAGTTTTGTCGGAAGCGTCTTCGGGAATGGCTTATGGCTGTATCCATTCAATGCCGCGGTCACGAAGGTTGATCGTCTAGCTAGGTAGCCTCCACCGTCTCCTTTACGTAAAGGCAAATTGTAAACTCTCCTCCGAGGGACGCCCTTGCCATCTGTGCGGGGGGCGGGTTCGTCAGTTGCAGTAGAGTGCTATTACCTCGAAAGACGGAATGAGCGGCTGAGGGTAGTGATATGCTAGACTGCGCTCCTAGTCGCCTTCGCTTAATTTCATGGTTGTAGCGCTGCATCGAGCCAGGGAGCCACGCAACCGGGGTGCAGAACACAACCAGAAGTGAAGGGCGAAGACAAAGTAGCGCATTCGGCCACGCGTCGGGGCGTTATCAGGATTTATGCCCGGTCTCAGAGGACCGTCGGCAGCGCGACGGAGCCTCAAAACGGCATCGGGCTATTACCCACCCTCCAACCCCTATCACACTGCGGGGTTTCAACACCAGGAGAGGTGAGGAACTCGCCTGTCCCTAAACCGCTTGATCGTTCAGAATTTGGCCCCATCCATATACGGCCCTCTCAGCTGAGTGACTCAAACATGTCTCTTTTCTTCAAGTCCACTTCGTCGCTAAGAAATATTGAAGGTTTTTCTGCATATGATTTGTGAATATTGCTAATTTCAGCGGTACACGGCCGTTATTTATAAGCATGACAGCTTCATCATCGAAACCGGATACGTTACGACGATTATCACCGGGTTACTGTATCCGCGTACATAAAGGGGAAGCAACAGCCAGCGCTCCGGCCAGTGAACGAGCCATTCAACTTCATCGGAGGATGAGTCGGGTACGATCCCTTATCTCCTTGTCCGTCTTTCTTATATTTTTTGCCTGTTGCTCCTTTTATTTTCATTACGTAAGAATTTTTTTGCTGGGGTCGAATTTACGAAACTTTCATTAAAATAACCCGTTTGTCTTTAGGCTAGAGCCACATTCTTTTTGCTGACCCTGTAAGTGAAGTCTATGTTTGGGTAAAGACACCTTTTCGCTGAGCTGGCTCTTTATCTATGTAGCATTTTTAAGGAGGTAAGACGCGGATAAGTATAAGCACTGCTCACGCCCTAAAACTAGTCGTGGATGTGTCCATGCAGGGACGGTGCTTGAAAAATGAGAGCTTTGGGCGAGTGGCCTGAAGATCATTTGGGTTTTACCCCAACACACTCGTGCTTCGCTGCCGAAAATGTGCGGCCGTGTCGAAGATGGGTGGACCAGTTCTCACAACCATTTAGTGCGGAAGCTTCCACGCGACTTCAGACGAGGAAAGCAGGCTTGCGTAGCGTCAGGCTTGGTGTTCTTATGCGCCCCAGTATCCGCAGCGAGCAAGACTACACCAATCCACCTCAAAAAAAAAAATAAAAAAAAAAAAAACAACGAAAAAAATAACGGGTGACGGCCACACTTCCTCGTTGCTATCATGTTCGGGCGGTATTCCGCTTTGCAAGGCTTCTCTTATTTGGAGCTCCTTTGCTTTATTATCTTGATCAGGATGAAGCGCAATGTGAGGCCAACTCCGCCACAAGAAATCGGCGTGGAATGTGTCTCGAATCGGATATCGGAAGATAAAACTTTGCAAATTGTCGAACAATTGGGGCACGGCCTTACTGTCCAACAACAGAATCTTGCAAAATATCATCCCCAATTCCTAAAACTGTCCTCTTGCTGGTAACTCTTTATCGTCATTTTTCCGTTAACTATCCTTCATCCTACCCCATACTTCCAAATATTTACCATTTTCCTACCAGTTTCGTGGATACGTTGGCCGGAGCATTCTCTAGCAATTCCCCAATTAAATCGAGGGGCTGAAGGGAGCATGGCATGAAACGGAAACTAAGAAACAAACGGACCACTATTTCGGACATTTACGATACCCCTTCATTTGTTTTTTATTTTTCACCGACGAACATAACCCCTTCTCACTGGCGAATCTTTATCCCTCTCAGTGGGGATCCCTTCCCTAACCTAGGGCGTGCCGCAGTTGGACCGTTGTTCTATCGGTAGACTAACATTTCGCCAATTCCACGGTTATAGCACGTCCCCTGGGGGCGTGTTAAATAAATAACTAAATAAATAATTTGCATAATCAATTAACCAATCGATCAACTATATCTATTTTCAGGATCCGGCGTTATCACATAGCAATCTGGTGATATCAGTGGGTCGAGGATGGGGACCGAACTACAGTCGCCTGTACGTGACGGATATTCCATGCCGATACGAGGTGTCATTTGCATGAGGATCGTCGATCGTCGTCTGTTGTCGTGTGTGTAGAGATGGTCACGGCGTTACTGCCACCGAAAATGGGCATTCTAGGCATCGTATATAAGGAGGGGGGGGGTCTTCCCCCTCAACCATCACATCATCTCATACCATTCCCATTTCCGGAATACGTCCCAGCCACTTGCGGGTATTGTTATATAACGTTGAGCGTTCGGCGACACTACCGTAGTACGTACGGTGACGATACGGTCATTCATAACGTCGTGCCGGTTGTTCACGACACGCTCAGCATAGGCTCTTTCACTCGAATTCTAGGATCTGTGAACTAGCGAGCTTAGTATGATTCTTCTTTCCGTCTTCAGTCATTTGAAGACATTACTGTTGTACTTCTCGTCTCCTGGTGATAATCATATATATGCTTGCTTCCGATCTGCCCGGTTTCTCTCGAATTATCGATTGATCGATTTTATACGCGTCAGCTCGAAAAAATTTCGCTAAAGCTCCTGAAATTTGCTGTTTTCGAAGGCATCGCTCACGGGAATTCAGGTATCTCATTCTGTTCCAGTTTGGGACCAAAGTAACTATTCGGCCGCAGAAGGTACGTAAGCGCAGTTCGGTGGGGTCCCAGTTGGTACTCAACAGCGCTTATACAGGCCACCCTTTGAGATCTATGAAATTCTGTCCCTAAAATGACTCAGTCGTGCCATTCCACTGGTTAGCACAGACTCTCCAAAGAGCGAGACCTATGTTAGTTAACAGTAACCAGAAAAGGTTTACAAGACCGAAAGTACAAAGAATGCCCCCTCTAGGCCAAACAGCCCGCTAGTAGCGTTATACTAGCGTTGCGATTCAAAGTGGAAATCTACATAGTGCCGTGGTTCTACCGTTTTGGAACCGCGATAGTCGTGGCCTATCAAAGAAGGAAAGGCTTCTTTCTACACCGAGTACAGTCCACGCTGGACGTGTGGGTGGAGTCGGCCCGGCCATTAGATCTTCCCCATTGGAGCCCCGCCCAATACGAATAAATGGATGAACGCTCTAATGAGGTACCTGAATGAAGGACCGACTCCGCCTTCTTGCTAATGAGGAAGAGGCCTAAAGACAACTCTAGAGTCAGGTCGGCGTAAGCGACACCTTCGAGACAATGGCTTTCCGAGTGAGTAGTTTCCAAGAGCGAAATTTTTCGAGCTGACGCGTTCCGTGCGATAGAACATTTCCAAGCTCCGATCGATATTGATTGGTATTGATTGTATACCGCCACCACAATTCTCAGTCATACTGCACTCATTCCAAACTATAGGACATGAGGCTATCTGTTGTTCGCTCTTCTTTTTCTAGAATACTGTCTACGCTACAGTATTCCTACCGTATATCATTTCGGTCTCGAAATTCGATCACACATTTCATATGAAATTCAACCAAAGAAGCAATCAACAACCCGTTTAGCGTATTCAAATGATGGAGCGGTCTTTCAGTATATGGCGTAAATGTTCTTGTTTTCATTATATGGTGACTAATCAATAAGGTGTTCCTACTTCATCTCGTTTCTCCTAATTGTTTCAGTTCATTCGTTCGTTTTCTTCATTTTTTTCGATGTGGTTTTCATTCATTATCGCTTCGATGCTCCGGTTTTGTGTTCCCACTCCTGCCATGATTTTCCTCTATCAAATGGTTTATTTATAAAACAACGTTGTGATTGATAGAGTGCACAGGAGGCGTTTACCTACGTTCCTTTCTAACAAAAGGGCGCGGAAATTAAAAACAGTCCGTATCTGATAGCAACTGAGGGCGTGGCTGCGAGCGCGGTGCTGGCTGCTAGGGTGTAAACGGAAGAGAGGCAGAGACGTAGAGTCGGTATGGGAACACGACAACCGTCGCCGTGAATCTCTTTCTGCTCTTCGATATGGACTGCACGGACCCTGCATAACCCGTAAAGGGCGGTTGCCCGCCCAAATTCCTATCCCTGCGGATACCCAGAAAGAAAGACATTCTTCCATAGCGCGGTTGGACCGCGCAGTGCTTGACGAAAAGGTGAGTCACTTGGCCTGTGAAACATCCCCAGAGAGGCGTGAACAGTGATTATCAGTGGTTCTGCGACGTAAGCTCGAATGGTGCAACGATTTGTGGGCCGAAATGATATTCAGTGCTTCCCGACAGTCATGGTCAGAACGAACACTTGAGCTATTAAATAGATAGGCGTCTCACAAACCCACGAGTTCACGCTTAGCCTGCTCCTTCCTGAGATACATATGTCCTGGGGAATAGCAAGCACTGATGTTTCCTAAACTACGCCTTCCCTAGGTCACCCGTCTGTCACCCGCCTTAAAGGCATAGAGCTCCACTGATCAGGGCCTGAGTGACAACCCCGCTTACAGTGAGTAATTTCTAAGCTGGTGCTCCATCTTTCACTTGCGGTAAAGGAGAGACGCAACAATGAGGAAGGCAAAACAGTAGGCAGAGCACATCGCCTAATGGAAATCCCACCGGGGTTGTATATGAGTCGCTGGTAAAGAGCCTACATTTGGAATGCTCAATAGGCAAACTGTCCATTCTTTTTCGCAGATCCATGCTTGAGATCAGGGTCCGTATATGGACTATTGGAGCTAAATCCCAAAGAGTGTCAGAGCTCTCAATCCGTTTCTGGCTGTAGGAATCCGCGCAGGTGAGGCGCTACCATAGCCTTACCATCGCCAAACGCGCTGCTTTCAATTTCGCCTCTCCGGTCCTGTTTGCTCCATGCCCAGGTGCGTGTTTCGCTGCAGACCATAGTAATATAGTCGAAAGTGCTACACTCTGAGAATAGCGTGGACGGAGTAAGGAGACGTTCATCGCTACCTTTCAGTCCGTTTCCACGCACTTCCGAGCGGAGCAAAGAAGCACGATTCTTCAGACAGTTGAAGATAGGTTCACGCAGACGATAGAGATTTCAGCAGCGCGTATCTTTGAGTAGTGTCACAGGTCCCTGAGGTAGGGACGGGTCCGCAGTTTGATCAACGGCAGGCAGTCCAGGCATAGAGGGAGACGCGTTCAAGTGTCGCAGATGTCTCGTACCTGACGGCGCTGCAGGAGGGCGGACGTCCACCTTGGGGTCAACCTGAGACTTCCCTTTGATTGTGCCAGTGCCACGCCTGCAGCTGGGGAACTAGAAGAACACACACAGTACGATTCTGAATACCAGCAATTAGCACCAGATTACTCCTGAAATCTCTAGCTCGGGTTTACAAAATTGTATTTGTATTTTATACCAGTCAATACTTACAGTTGGTTCATGCAAACAGACTAACAAAAACATCTCTGAACGCTGACAATATGTCATACTCCTGGAACAGATTACGCAATATTACGGTCGACATGCTCGTTGACACGATTTTGCACACATAGACATTACCGATGGCCTATCACACAGTGTTAAAATGCTCCAAAGTCGACAATAACTACCGTAATCAATACATATCAATACCGACGGCTTGACAGTACTGCTTTCCTCTGGTGGTTCTATGCTGGTGGTGGTATCTGTGGTGACAGTTTCTGTAGTGGTAGTTGTAGTTGACGTGACTTCGGGAGTAGTCTCTGTAGGAGCTTCTGTTACCCCTGAAGCGCATTTTTTAAGTTCGTCACAAAAATCATGATTTCTGACTTCACCCTCAGAAATGGAAGATTAAGTCAGAATTTATGATTTTATGAATTCATGATTCTTTTGAGAAATATTCGGATCTCATTAAAGGCACAGTACGCTTTGGTAGCGTGGGAGTAGTTGGGGCTATAATTGTGCCCTCCTCTCTACAGCCCTAGAAGGGCCACATGCTACTGGAAAGGCACTCTATTAAGCCAGGCTCCACACATCAGCTTGGATAAAGGAAGGATTGCGCTACCACCGTTGATTAATCTGTTTCTATGATATGCCATACCATTCTGCTTCCACTCAGAATCGCAGTGGCTTAACGCAGTGGCAGTGGCGATATGGCCTACAGAATGACTTGAGGGGGGCGATCCTGTGTTATTCTCCCGCACCAAAGCCTTCCTTATGTACCTCCACCCCACGACAAGCCCCGTAATACGCAGCCAAGAGGACTGTATTTGGCAGCGTGCACCCAAAGTGTCCCTAAGATAATATACAGAGGCACAACAGGTAGCGCATTTCAAAACGGACCGATTCAAGAAGAGATCTTAATGACTTGGATTTTCCGGCCAAAAAGCAATTGCGTGGCGTATCCTCGAAAGAAGGGATAAAAAAGAGGCTGGACTTGCAATTTCACAAACCTTCGGTCGTGGTACTCTCGCCAATGTTGTCATGAGGTGTGGTGTCGACGATTTTGTAACCACGACGTTTAGGCAGTGGAGGAGGGGCTGCAACAGTACATGGATTATAAACCTGCTTTGCGACCAGTACATCTCACTGCATAGGCTGACAAAGCGGGACGTCGAAAAATCGGTTAGCGTACTAACTAGGTTTGACCCGCCGTCTGATTTCTGGTTCCACAAATTGCGCCACCATTTCTTCAGCAACCACCTTGATCGCTGCAAATGTTTCCAGCCCAGTGGCCGGGATCTCGCGTTTCGGGAAGAAGGAAACCATTAACTGTTAAGAACGATAAATTTGATGCAGCTGACCTGCGAAACTGCGTCCGTAGCCAGGCCGTGGGGCGAAATACCTCAAAACTTATTTCTCACAGCTAAATCTGTCGTATGGGTGGAGTCAGGCTACTATTGTGTCGTCAGTCACCGAGTGTGGCTTACTCGCTTTCCAAGATCGGTGAACTGAAAAGGAGGGCGCTGTCAGTTATGATGGATTGCGAGCCGTGAGCCTGACTCCACCAGCAGACTGCAGGGAATGGATCGGATCTTTGAAGATCTTAGCGCAGCTTCACAGAGAGCAATTCTCGAGACCCGTTTCGCGACCATATCGTGCAGTCGGTACAGCGGGGAAGGTCCTGGACAAGTCCAATTAGCAAGGAGGAGATGATTTATTACCTTCCTGGGACTCACTTCAAATCACTCCATCTTCGCCTTTAGCGCTATCTGAGTGTTCTTTCTATTTTTTATATAGTTTTAGTTGACACATAATTTCGTAGGCAACGAATCCCATAAAGGAACCTACCCTGAGGGAACTTTGCAGTATACTTCCTTATTTATTTTGTGGTTCAGCAAGTAAAAAAATCGATAACTACAACTTTCAGTAGGAAATAATCCCGACGCTGAAGTCAATGTTTTGTCGTTGTTCTAACAATAACAGATGAGTCCCTCATGCCCCATTCATGTTCAGCGGAACGAATAATCCTCTAAACGCTCCAGCTTGTCTAGGGTTCAAAATGGAAGTGAAGGAGTTCCGTTGGAGAAGGCTAAGGAATACGAATAACCAGATTTTTGAGGGTCCTAGATCGCTGACGCTGATCTACCGTAAAAGGTTTCTTTTGGGAACAGAAAGGGAACCTTTCTTAAGAGAAGTTCCTAAAAAGAAGACTTTGGTCCTTGAAAGAATTCAGAGTTGGCGCAGTTTGGCTCGGTAGGGGCACCAAGTGGTAGTCAAGCCTGTGCAGATCACCTTGTGAGGACCTGTGAAATCCTGTAATGGAAGTGACCCACTTCTACCGTCGCGCAGGTTCGCAAGGGTTCACGGATCTCATTTTGATGTCCGGTCAGTCAACATGAACCCCCACTAGGAATTAGCAGAAGGGCACAATGCCCCTCCCAAGCTGAACAGCGCCTCAGAGTTAACTGTCAGGACTCACCCGAGTGCTGTGTTCTGCGGCCTCAGCTCGATAAGATATGCATAATTGACCTTCAAGGAGCCTTTAGCCCAGTCATGCGATCCTCCAGATGCTTCATCTACAAAATATCAAATTATTAGAATGTTGGCTTCAGAGTTTCAGCCTCCACCAAAGTTCCGAAGGTGCCATATTGGGGTCACTTACACATTATATCAGCTCCAGTTCCAACTTGGTACTTGGTTGCCATACAGATCGTACAGCGCTTTCGTAGCCTTTTCCGCAAGAGGTCTCTGAAGTTTAACAAATAATCACGACTAATTAGAAGGTTTCCTTTTTCCATAAAAAACTGGGTGAATTTCCCAAGGGTAAGATATAGAGGTAGGTTTTGGAATGAAAGAAACTTGTCTGCGATGGAGCTATCTCGAAAGGATTAACAGGACTGTTCACCTTTTACTGTCTCACTAGGTGGATCAAATTTTTCCTCTGAGAGCGGATTTGACTATAACATAGCTCCGATCTGTATTTTCAACCCTTTAACAGGAGATATTTGCGCTCGTTTGGTTTTTGGAAACGGGCTGCGCGCCCCGCGCTCACATAGCGCCGGCCTGTAGAAGAGCCAGCAAAGCGCTGCCAGAGGGAAAAATGGAGTGCGACCTATTATCGCGCGCACAATATAAACAGGGATTTCTGCATAAAAATTTCCGTTATTTGCCTATTCACCTCCTTTCAAAGTAGTAGAACTATTTAAAGTGGAAAAAATTCCACAGATTTCCTCTTCCTTCCCTCACTGACAGTCCCAAAGCACATCACCGTTGGGGATTCCCCAAGAAGGGGGAGAATTTGTTCGCTGGAGTGACGGGGTCGTATTTGGTCTGAGAAAATTTTTCTTCAATGGTCGATTTTTCTTGTCCCTGCGGATGCTACAAAGCGAGGGGTCGTACTCGCTCGTTGTTGCGAGAGGGCGGGAGGGGGGAAGTGTAGTTGCCTTCATGCTTTCTGAGAGAGGTTGAAGACTTTTCGCGGTTTTTCCCGTTTCTGCTATATCCCCCTCGACATGAGGAGGGACTACGGGGAGGGCCGTATCAAGCCACCTCCTAGAGGGGGGGGGTTGTATGGAGCTCGACCTAAACCCCCAAAAATCTGATGTGCCCTGGACAGTTCGTCCCGTCAGACAGCAAAAGTAAGAAGTAAAGCATTCCTCCTATGTGATAGTGCGTTCTACGAAATGCCAAAAGTTAGCTAAGTAAATGAAAGAACAAAATGGGATCGACGAGCCTGGTGAAGCTCAGGAAAACTTTACTCATTTGGATTTCTGCAGGCAATAGGATGGCTCTGATTTCACTCATTTCAAGATTTTTTTCGAGGTTTTTCAGTTCCATTAGCAGATGTCAGCCACCTTCTCGATAGGGAACATGAGGAAGGACTCACCAGAGCGGTGTGATAGTCTTGAGGATAGCTTCGCTTTCGATGACCAAATGGAATCAGCCACATTTGGGAATACGAGTGTAATGTGATGAACGCCTAAAAAGGGGAAAATAGCAAAAATGGAAGTTGAATGTTTCACAACACAAAAGTCGACCTTATCATGGAATTAAGCAGGGCTTATTTCGTAAAATTACTCACAGTGAAATTTGTAATGCTTCTATGCTTTGCGCAGGACCTGAGTACATGTTCATAGGAAGATTTCGAAGCTGAACAGCACTGACATCGCGCTTCTGGTGCAGGTGCATCAGAGGTCCGCAGGTAAACAGTTCACGTGTTCAGGCTCTGGTGTGGGCAAACTAACTAGCTAAC